AATATTGGCCCCACTCTCTTCTGACTTGTAGAGTTTCTGCTGAGAGATCTGCTGTAAGTCTGATTGGCTTGCCTTTGTGGGTAACCTGACCTTTCTCTCTGGCTGCCCTTAGTGTTTTCTCCTTCGTTTCAACCCTGGTGAATCTAATGATTATGTGCCTTGGGTTGCTCTTCTTGAGGAATATCTTTGTGGTGTTCTCTGTATTACCTGGGGTTGAATATTGACCTGCTTTGCTAGTTTAGGAAAATTTTCCTGAATAATATCTTGAAGGGTATTTTCCAGCTTGGATTCATTCTCTCCGTCGCATTCAGGTACACCTATCAAACGTAAATTTGGTCTTTTCACATAGTCCCACATTTCTTGGAGACTTTGCTCATTCCTTTTTATCCTTTTTTCTCTAATCTTTTCTTCACGTTTTATTTCATTAAGTTGGACTTTGACCTCTGATATCCCTTCTTCTGCTTGAACAATTCGAGTGTTTAAACCTGTGCATACTTCTCGGAGTTCCTGTATTGTATTCTTCAGTTCCATTAATTCACTCATACTCCTCTCTAAGTTGTCTATTCTCAATAGTATTTCATCAAACCTTTTTTCAAAGTTCCTAGTTTCTTTACGTAGGGCTACAACATGTTCTTTTAACTCACTGAAGTTTGTTGTTATCCATTCCATGAAGAGTACTTCTGTCATTGGGATGCGCTCGTTCTGCATCAAGCCTTGTTCCATTGTCGATGTGGAACTGTGATCATCTTTAGAGGGAGAGGCCTTCTGACTTTGAGTATTCTCATCTTTTTTACCCTGGTTTCTTCCCGTCATTGTAAATGTATCCTCCTGTCGTCTTTGAATTTACCAACTTTCAGATTAGGTCTCTTGAGTGGGCGTCCAGGTTGTTAGTTCCCAGGGCTACAGCAGCAGCGTTAAAAGTGATGGTGCTTTTCTTCCCAGGGTTCTCCTGTGGGGCTTCCTTCTTGTGTCCTTAGTAGGCGACTCTGCCTTCCCGGGGCTCCAAACCTCCGTCAGAAGGGGAACTTGTCCCATTTACTCTGCGCTGAGCGCTGCCACGCCGAGGTGCCGTCAGAGCCGCTGTGCCGGGCTCTGGTGTTGTGCTGGGGGCCCGTGCGGGTCCTCCAAACCTGTTTATACTCTGCTCTGAGAGCTGCCGCGCCGAGGTGCTGGTGGAACCGCTGCGCCGGCCACGAGAGTCGCGCTGGCGACCCATGTGTTTCCTCCACTGGGGATCTTCTGCTCCGTGAGCGACCAGAATTTGTCTGAAAGTGTGGCGTCTAGTTCTCCGCGCCTTCACTGAGAGCTGCAATCCTGGGATGTTAGCGATCAGCCATCTTGGATCGTCTCCTATATTTTCTTTTTATGAGACTTGAGAAATTGATACAACATATTTCAAACATTCTTACTCATTCAACATTTATTATATATCAACTATTCCTTAAAACCTGTAACTTACTAGAAAGGCTGGTTAAATATATTATGGCATATCCAGTAGTTAAAAAGAATGAATGAACTCTAGGTTAATGTGCAATCATTCAACAATCATAATGGTAAGTAAAAGGGCAAGGTGGAAAATGATATATGATATGATGTCTATTTCACATGTGTGTTTGTCTATACACAGAGTATTTCTAGAAGATTATAAAAGAGACTGGAAACTGTTATTGTCCCTATGGTGAAGGATTGACTGTTTGGCATCTAAGGGAGACTTTTCACTGCATAGCTTTTTGTACTTATTTTTCCCAGTGTGAATGTCCTATTTTTTCAACTAAAAGAACTTAATAATTTACACTTTACATAAGAAGATCACACACAAAAATCCAATTAGATAATAACAAGCAACAGTACAACAAAAGAAACATCATGAGACAATATGTAGTTTATTACCATATAGTTGAAATAGCTTTAACTCAAAGGAGTGAAGAAATCACTGTGGAGTGATGTAATCAGGAAAAAACCTTTATCGTTGAAGTGGTGCTTGACTTAGACCTTGAAAGATGACATTTGAGTAAGATGGCAGAGAAGGCGAAGTGATTATAAGGGAGGTAAACAGAGTGGGTAAATGTGCCTGTGGCAAAGCTGTGGGGTGGGCCTGGGAGGCACAAGACCTGGGTGCTAGTCCTTTGACCCCAAAAGCTGTAGGATTCCAGGCAGTTTACTTTTATAATGCCTGCATCCAATGGCTCCCTAAAACAAAATGTAATCAATGGTCCCTTTCAGCTCTCTAGTAACATGTCTATCTCCCTAACTATAATTGGGAAGAAAGATTAGGGCTATATTTTGGGGATTCCTGAGTGCCAAGCAATGGAATTTAATGGTTTGGTCAGAGGAAGCCTCTGAAAGTTTCTGAAAAGAACAACATGTTTTAGGAAGATTGAATATGTGAGAGCACAGAGTAAACACTATATAAGTTTTGACTAATTATTAATTTCACATCATTTACAGGGTAGACTAAAGGGGAAGAGGCAAACTAACTGGGAGATGTGCAATAATCAGGCAAGCAAGAGATTAACATGGTCTATATTGGGTTTTGGGTTTGTTCAAAACCCTAGACATTCATTACTTGAATACATTCGCTCCAAGTTCTTTGCTATCCTTTTCCAGGGTCCTGTTGATTAGTGTGTAGTGTCAGGGAGCATCTGGAGCCTCAAAAGTGTTTTTGTTCAGTCACACTGTTGGGTGTTTTTTTTTTTTTTTTTTTTGAGACAGAGTCTTGCTCTGTCATCAGGCTGGGGTGTAGTGGCATGATCTCGGCTCACTGCAACCTCCATTTGCAGGGTTCAAGTGTTTCCCCTGCCGCAGCCTCTCCAGTATCTTGGACTACAGGCATGCGCCACCACGTCTGGCTAATTTTTTTTTTTGTATTTTAGTAATACAGGGTTTTGCCATGTTGGCCACGATGATCTCGATCTCCTGACCCCGTGATCTGCCTGCCTGGGCTTCCCAAAGTGCTGAGATGACAAGAGTAAGCCACCACACCCAGCCGCCTCTTGGGGTTTTTTTTTAAGGGTTTATTCTACAGCCTGACTCATTCTAGCACTGAGCTTTCTAGTAGCTAGTGCAGATTTTTACAGATTTAAAATACCACTGTATTTTATTAAAATGCTTTTCTTAAAAATTATATAAATTTTTTTTTTTTTTTACTACACAGAAAACTACAAATTTTTAAGTTACCCCTAACCTGGATATCATCAATGTTAACATTTTATTTTAATGGCATCAAAGTATAGATGAAGCTTTAAATTCCAAGGAAATAGTTTTGAGAAGGTGATTTGCTTTATGGAAATATGGTTTGACATCTATTTAACTTTTTAATGTGCATGATCTTTCCTACCTCTCCAATTAAATTATCACCTCCTCAAAGGCAGAGAGGTTATTTTCTACATCATGCTCTACCTTGCAGCACTTACGTGCTGAATGAAGTTAATAAGTACTTCAAATGATGAAGTAATAACTAATTTCCCCCAAATCACTTTCCAACTCTTCAATCAGATATTCACAGATCTTCAAAATGTATTTCAGTTAGGCTTATCTAGTTGAAACCTTCTGCACATTTTTTTATCCCATGAACATGCCATACTTAACAATGTGTTTTTACCTAATTCTGATTTCCCAGTCCTAGAATGTTTTTCCTAGTCTTCACTATCTTTTTTTTGAGACAGAGTCTCGCTCTGTCTCCAGACGATCTCGGCTCACTGCAACTTCCGCCTCCTGGGTTCAAGCAATTCTCCTGCCTCAGACTCCCAAGTAGCTAGGACTATAGGCGTGCACCACCATGCCCAGCTAATTTTTATATTTTAGTAGAGATGGGGTTTCACCATGTTGGCCAGGATGGTCTCGATTTCTTGAACTCATGATCCGCCCGCCCCGGCCACCCAAAGTGCTGGGATTACAGGCATGAGCCACTGTGCCCAGCCCTTCGCTGTCTATTAAAATCCTATTCATTCGTCCAAACTCCAGTTCAAACTCCAGATGGCCTTTATAGAATTTTCTCTAGTCATTTCAACCCATGTTAAATGCTTACTCATAAGTATCTAAGCACTGTAAGTATATAATACTCAGTTTGGCACTTACTCAAATAGTACTGTATCTTTATTGTACTCATATACTTAAATGAAAAAAATTAGGGTAAACAGCACTTTATTCACTGATCAACCTGGCTTTATAGCAAGAGAGAAACAATAAAGGAGTACAGGAGGAGATTCTCAAGTCAAATAAGGAAAGCATTCGTTTGAAATAGGAAAAGGAGCTTTCCAGTACAGCAAACTGAATGCCTTTTGTAGTAGGGAGAGAGCAAGTGGTTGGCAAAAAAGGCCACAGGGATAAACAATGAGTAAAAATTCTGTTTAAAAGGAAGCAGACAGGAGGCATGTATCTAGAGAAAAGGTCTGAACTTGGGAAAGGTAAGCAAGGATGAAGGGTGGGGAGAGTAAAAGAGTTCTATATATGCTTTAGGGTTTATTTAAATGTTTCTTTCTGGAAAATTAAACTTTTAAATTAATCCTGGACTCTGAAATTCAATTAAAAAATATAAAATCCTACTAAGCGGTCTTGTCTAACCTCAAACTTACAGAAAAGTAATTACAATGAAAATGACACATATAAAGAATTTATTCACAATATAGGGGCTATTATACAGAAGGCACTCAAATGTGGAACAAAGTCAATTAAGCCCACAATTCTGGAGTTCTCAGATACATGTGAATGCCATGACCACTGGCAATTTTGGTTATAACTAATAAAAATGTACTTCTTCAGTGACAAGGTCTCATCCTGGCTCAAGTGAGCTTCCCACTCAGTCTTTCAAGCAGCTGCGACTACAGGCATGTACTACCGTGCCTGGCTAATGTTTCATATCTTTTTGTCGAGATGGGGTCTTGCTTTGTTGCCCAGGCTGGTCTTGAAGTCCTGGCTTCAAGCAATCCTGCCCTGGCCTCCCAAAGTGTTAGAATTATAAGCATGAGCCACTATACCCAGCCTAAAAATGTACTTCTTACCTTTGTCTTCTCCTTGCTCGCCAATAATCCATACTTCTCTGCCCGAAGTCTGTGCCTTCAAAACATTTGTAATAATATACTGTAATCTCTGTGAATCCAGATTACATCCAATTCCAATCACTCGATTTGCAGGAAATGCACTCAGTTTCCATGTCACATAAGTCATGATTTCCACTAAATATTGCATACGAGGTAAAAATGTAAAAGTTAAAAAATATCTACTTCTAGCCTAGCTCACAAAATATTTATTACTTTAATAGGTATGTTAGGGCCTCTATATACTCTTCTTAGATCCTCAATGCACTGAGGCATAACATATTTTTGATATACATTAAAAACACTAACAAGGTTTCAACAAGATCAATTTTACTGTGTATATGTGGGGTTTTTTTGTTTGTTTGGTTTTTTGTTTTTTTTTGAGATTAAGTGTTGCTCTGTACCCCAGGCTGGAGTGCAGTGGCACCATCTAGGCTTACTGCAACCAACCTCTACCTCCCAGGTTCAAGTGATTCTCCTCCTATCTCAGTCTTCCTAGTAGCTGGGATTACAGGCGTGCACCACCACACCCAACTAATTTTTTGCATTTTTGTAGGGATGGGTTTTCACTATGTTGGCCAGACTGGTATCGAACTCCTGACCTTAGGTGATCCACCTGCCTCGGCCTCCTAAAATTCAGGGATTACAGACGTGAGCCACCACACCCAGCCAAATTTTATTATTAAACATACATTGTCAGGGATAGAAAATAGATAATTCCTAGAATACTTAAGTGAGGATAAAAACTGGGTACAGAATTGGCCAGGCGCGGTGGCTCACGCCTGTAATCCCAGCACTTTGGGAGGCTGAGATGGGCGGATCACCTGAGGTCAGGAGTTCAAGACCAGCCTGACCAACATGGAAAAATCCCATCTCTTAAAAAAAAAAAAAACAAAAGACTGGGTACAGAAAACCAGAAAATAATAATTTCCTTTTATTGATCAAGTTTTCTTCTACATCTACCTTAAACTGAATTTCTATCTTTAAATTAAAATACTGATTCACATGCCACCATGATTTAGTGTAGCATTATGAATGAAAATACAGCTACTTTTTTCTTATATCCCAAAAGGATGTCAAGAATTAAACAGATCAATGTCCCTCAACAATTACTATAGAAAAACAAGTGAAATGTATTCCCCTACCTCAGGAACATTAAAAAAAATCTGTTCACCAATTTGAGTCCAGTACAAACTAACTCTCTGAAAATATTTCTATTTTTGAGTATGACAGTTCCAAAACAACCTGCAAAATACAAAATGTTAAAAATGCACTCTGGCTTGCTAATATTTTATGACACTTTGGAATTAACAAAATATCATGCATATAAGTCATTGTATTTTTCTCTTGGGAGTTTAAACATCTTACTGAGGAAGGCACAGCTTAGAATGTAGAACATAATATCATATTTCATTAAAAAATTGCACATTGGAACCTTCTAGATAATGTTAGTCATAAAAAGGAACTGATAAATACTACACTGTTTATTACACGGGCAATTTTGCTGAATATTGTAGCCATCTCTTTATAATTAAAGTTTTTATTTTTGGACAGAGTGTCACTCTGTCGGCCAGGCTGGAGTGCAGTGGCACCATCTCAGCCTCATTGCAACCCCATCGCCTCCCGGGTTCAAGCAATTCTCCTGCCTCAGCCTCTTAAGTAGCTGGGACTACAGGCACCCACCACCATCCCTGGTTAACTTTTGTATTTTTAGTAGAGATGGGGTTTCACCATGTTGGCCAGGATGGTCTTGAACTCCTGACCTCAGGTGATCTGCCCGCCTCAGACTCCCAAAGTGCTGGGATTACAGGTGTGAGCCACTGTGCCCTGCCCTAAAGTTTTATGGTTTTTATCATTAATGGCAATTCTACTGATGCACTGGACCATCGAGTTAATGTAAAATAAAGCATTTTACCTGGCTGAGATGCAACGAGCAGGATACTGTGTGGACTATAATGTCCCAGAGCTGGGACAAGGGCTCGGAACATATCCACATTGCTCTGTACCACATCAAGGTAGGACTGAGAACTACCCAAAGAGTTGACTGTGAAGATCACCACCTTGGAATGAGCAGAGGCAGACAAATCTAGCAAATGAAAAGAAACAGTCTGAGCTCAAGACATAGGCTTTAATCAAGTTCTATTTCATGATTAAAAGGTTTTTCAACAAATGGAGAACTTTTAGGCATGCCTCCCCATAAATCAACTGCATATCCACAAAAGCATACAAAATGCTGAGTTTTGCCTACAAAAGGAGGATTAAGAATAAGTGTTGGCTGAGTGTAGCAGCTCACACCTGTAATCCCAGCACTTTGGAGGCTGAGTCTGGTGGATCACTTAAGGCCAGGACTTCAAAAACAGCCTGGTCAACATGGCAAAACCCCATCTCTGCTAAAAATACAAAAATTAGCCACGCATGGTGGTACATGACTGTAGTCCCAGCTACTCAGGAGGCTAAGTCAGAGATTCAGTTGAACCTGGGAGGCAGAAGTTCAGTGAGCTGAGATCTTGCCACTGCACTCCACAGTCTCGAGACAGATTAAGACTCTGTCTAAAAAAAAAGAGTAAGAGTGTATCCCAAGGGGAGAAGATAGCAATAGTGATAAAAATAAATAAATTATGGGATCTAAAACTTACAAACAAGAACTGAGTTTTTTAATATAATTTTTAAGGGAAAATAAATATTATGCTATAGACAAAATGAACCTATAATCAGTTACACCACTGATTCCTAAACTGTGAGCTTAGGCACCCTAAAGTTCCTTGAAAGACTCAGAGGCCATCAAGGAGGAGTGGAAATAAGTGGGAAGAAGGCTGGTAAGCACAGCTCCAGGCCACTTACTTTGGCCTATCCAAGCACAGTAGTGCTGCTTTTTAAAAAATCTGTTTTACTTATTAAGGATTCTCCTCTAAAGAAAAAAAATCTGGTTCAAAAATCTCTAAATTAAATAACTTGGCTTTTTTTTTTAAAAGAGACGAGGTCTCACTATATTGTCCAGATGGGACTCGAACTCCTGGGCTCAAGTAATCTTCCTGCCTCCTCCTCCACGCCTCCTGAGTAGCTGAGACTACCGTACCTGCCTCTTGGCTCATTTTAAACTAACTTTTCTTATACTGAAGCCCAGCTGTCCTTGGGTAACTACTACTTTCAATGGGAACTACAGGTAAACAACTGTTATGACTTAGGAAAAGCTAGTCTATGGAGTTCACTCTGACTCCAGAGCACCTTTGACCCTCGAGCACATGTTATGCTATTACAACTATATTACTCTCTATTGCACAGTGTGTTTTACAGTAAGCATGTGCCCAAACCATGGCCAGATGTTACCAGCATCAGAAATAATAGAACCATAATCAAGTAAGTACAATGGCATCAGTCCAATCAACATTTACAAATGAATATTTGAGTATTAGCCTCCCAGGGAAATGGTAGACCCCATGGTTTATATTCTTAATTAAGCCTTTAAGGCCATCATTTTTGTTGTTGTTGTTCTTATTGCCCAGGCTGGAGTGCAACGGCATAATTTCGGCTCACTGCAACTTCCACCTCCCAGGTTCAAGCGATTCTCCTGCCTCAGCCTCCCAAGTAGTTGGGATTACAGGCATGTGCCACCATGGCCGGCTAATTTTGTATTTTTAGTAGAGATAAAGTTTATCCATGTTGGTCAAGCTGATCTCAAACTCCCAAACTCATGTGATCTGCCTGCCTCAGCCTCCCAAAGTGCTGGGATTATAGGGGTGAACCACTGCACATGGGTGAGGCCATCTTTCTGAACAAGTTTCAGAAGGAAACACTTGTGCAATGTGTCCAATGGGATTTACTTCCTATTCTGACACAGTTGTAGTGATGGTAGACTTAAACACTAAGTCCTAGATTTTAATTATGGTTCTTCATGAGTCCTCTTTTTTTTTGAGACAGAGTTTTGCTCTTGTTATGCAAGCTGGAGTGCAATGGCGTGATCTCGGCTCACCGCAACCTCCGCCTCCTGGGTTCAGGCAATTCTCCTGCCTCAGCCTCCTGAGTAGCTGGGATTACAAGCATGCGTCACTATGCCCAGCTAATTTTTTGTATTTTTAGTAGAGACGGGGTTTCACCATGTTGACCAGGATGGTCTCGATCTCTTAACCTCGTGATCCACCCACCTCGGTCTCCCAAAGTGCTGGGATTACAGGCGTGAGCCACTGCGCCCGGCTTCATGAGTCCTCTTAATTCCTATGTTGTAGGGTTCACAGTGGATACCTGGTGATAAGTCAAAACCTCAAGAATTGGAAGACATTAGAACTGGAAGGGATATAGTTAACAATTCTATATGTGTCTAACAGTTTTGCATATATTTATTTACTTAATCTAATCAACAACACACAATGGAGTATTTTACAGATGAGAAATCTGAGGCACGGAGAAGTTAAATAACTTGCTCAAAGTCACAGAACTGATAAGTAGAGCCAGAGGTTAAGCCCATGCAGCCTGACTTCAAAGTGCTATTAAACACTATGCTACATTTAGAAACAGTCCTACACCCTCATAAAGATGAGGAAACTATTACCTGGAGAGGTTAGGTGGCCTGTCCGTATTATAAAATATCAGTGACCAGTTCAATTTGTAACTCTACAATCTGGCCCCAGGCTATCATGGTTATTTCTTTTTATTGCTCCTTTAGCTTCCTCTATTTTCAATGACAGAAATGCCCTCATCTTCAAGACTGATTTTGGGAGTAAACACAGTAGTGCCTGTCTAATATGATTTTTCTTTCTCTCTCTCTTTTTTATTTGACATAGGATCTCACTGTTGCCCAGGCTGGAGTGCAGTGGTGTGTAATCTTGGTTCACTGCAACCTATGCCTCCAATGTTCAAGCAATTCTCCTGCCTCAGCCTCCATAGTAGCCGGAATTACAGGCAACCACCACCGCACCCAGCTAATTTTTGTATTTTTACCAAAGATGGGTTTCACCATGTTGGCCAGGCTGGTCTCCAACTCCTGACCTCAGGTGATCCACCTGCCTCAATTTCCCAAAGTGCAGGGATTACAGGCATGAACCACTGTGCCCAGCCTCCTTTGAGTTTAAAAACCAATATTTCAGGCTGGGTGCGGTGGCTCAAGCCTGTAATCCCAGCACTTTGGGAGGCCGAGGTGGGTGGATCACGAGGTCAAGAGATTGAGACCATCCTGGTCAACATGGTGAAACCCCGTCTCTACTAAAAATACAAAAAATTAGTTGGGCATGGTGGCGCATGCCTGTAATCCCAGCTACTCAGGAGGCTGAGGCAGGAAAATTGCCTAAACCCAGGAGGCGGAGGTCGCGGTGAGCCGAGATCGCGCCATTGCACTCCAGCCTAGGTAACAAGAGTGAAACACCGTCTCAAAAAAAACAAAAACAAAAACCAGTATTTCTTTTATTTTAAAGTTTTCTCTTAGACATGGGGCTTGCTATGTTGCCCAGGCTGGATTGAAATCCCTGGGCTCTAACAATCTTCCAACCTCAGCCTGCCAAGTAGCAGGGACTACAGGTGTATGCCACAGCACCCAGCTCAGTATTTCTTTAAATTCTCCTACAAAAACTTGTGATTCAGGATGAACTGGTCTATATTCATTCCCTAGAATATTTACCTAATTTTTCTGATACTGGCTTTTGCTCAAATTCTCACTGTACTTACGTTTGACAAACATCTGCTTAACTGTCTATGTCAAACATACTATGAGCTCTGGGAGAACAGGGATTATTTGTGTCATTCATCTTTCCATCTCCAAGATCTGCTCGCATAGCAATTGGTACATTTCCCCCAACTTTCTGCCAGTCCAAATCTCCCAATCCCAAAAGAACCAGCAACTATCTCAATCCTAATAAGCCAAAAGCAATCTCTGTTTCCACCCAACTTTGAGTCGTCACTGTCTGGACCACTCTCTTGGCATTAGTCACATAGTGTGTCCTTACTCTCGTCATGAATGATTGTTTACATATTGCATGTGTCTTTTTATCTAAACTTTAAGCTGCTCTGACCAAGTCGAGTCTTCCATTTCTATCTATCCTTTGCAGCAGTTCTTAAATGCTAGGCTAGGTGCCTAAGCATAACCTGGGAAGCGTAATAAAAATGCAGATTAGCCCATGTTCTAAAGATTTTACTTAAATATGTAAGGGGAAACAGGAAATAGCTTTTAGGAATGCAAACCCCCAGATGATTCTGACGCACAGCCAGGTTTGATTAGCATTGCTCCACAGAAAACTAAGTTCCTTGTACCTGGCAATGAAAACCTTTGACTCTTCAAGTCTTCCCTTAAAAGTTGATGATTTAATAATGAAAGAAGATTATATAGTTACAAAGAGAATTAGAAAGAACTTTAAGCATGGTTATATAAAGCTATAAATTACAAGGATAAAAGTTCATTCGAGAATAATGAATTCAACAAACCCCTACTAAGGTCCTGTTATGTCATAAGTAATGTGTTAGGCCCTAAGAACTCAAAAGTGAACATAATATTGTCCCTATTCTATATATCACACAATATCGTAGTACAAGGGTTAGTCAGGAGAGCTTCAGAATGAGACTGCCTGGTTGAAATATCAGCTGTCCCACTTACACATTAGCATAATGGTAAGTTTCCTCCCATGCCAAGAACTCAGCATCTGTGTTACCAGGACACAAGCCTCTCACCTCTTTCCCAATTCTATAGGTAGCCCAGAAAAAACTATATCCTTCCTGCTAAGTGAAGGTCTACAACTACTGGAAGACCAGCTCCCAACATATCAATGTGGATTCAAGATCTCTCAAAGTGATCAAGTGAGGGCCGGGCGTAGTGGCTCATGCTTGTAATCCCAGCACTTTGGGAGGCCGAGGCGGGTGGATCACGAGGTCAAGAGATCGAGACCATCCTGGTCAACATGGTGAAACCCCATCTCTACTAAAAATACAGAAAATTAGCTGGGCATGGTGGCGCGTGCCTGTAATCCCAGCTACTCAGGAAGCTGAGGCGGGAGAATTGCCTGAACCCAGGAGGCGGAGGTTGTGGTGAGCCGAGATAGTGCCATTGCAGTCCAACCTGGGTAATAAGAGCGAAACTCCGCCTCAAAAAAAAAAAAAAAAAAAGTG